CAATATGTCTGAAACTTGTCGAAAAACATTAGCAAAAATCGGAAGCCTAGCCGAAGATATCATAGCAAGATCATCTATTCAACAGTGGCGTTTAAGGGCATGTCAGACGTTTGGATGCACTTGGGGTATGGAAGACGTTGTTTGGTGGAAGACCGAATAAATCAGTAGTAGCTTTCGTGTTCAAAGAGTAATATAAAAGAAGCATCCAGAGTGCAAGCAGCAAGTTATAGAGACAAAATAAGAACAAGCAGAACGGGCAAATTTGCAGGCCCCTAATGAAACATTCAATGGAACGACAACTGAAAATGCTCCACAAAAAAAACATCAATTTCACAAGAAACTCAAATTTAATTAAGTGTAGGATAATTAATTTTTGATCTGGCTTGTCCCGATACAATAGGACGGAAAGTGCAACTCGATGCAAGCCATATTTTGCTGTAAGTTTTTCATAAATTCCCGTCAGCTCCATAATGAAATTTCTCAGCTCTGGGGAGTAAAGTATCATGTCGAAAAGTAGCAGACAACAACATAATAAGGATATTGTCGACTTACGCAACGGGACAGTAAATATGAGAGAGGCTCAATGGAGGCATTAGCTGCAGACTTAATCGTTTTATTTGGGAGTTATTGATTTCCCTTGAGAACTGTGCAACTTACGCGGTGCATGACGAGCAGTCGAGCTAGTGACAAAGGACAATTTTCTGTTTCAAATGCTCAGATCACACGAGAAATTAAAACTGTGCTTTAATGTTGGCAACCGAAAATTACCTTCCGCATCCGAGAGGAGTTATTGAAATAAAAACCCATCCAAAAAAACTCCCTTGCCTCGGTGTTAGGAAGACAATTTCACGCGGAAATGGAACATTTAGTCTTTTTCCAATCGCATGTCAGAAGTGATTATGACTTCTCACGCGATGTATCTTCGGTTTGTTTTTTTAAGAGAAAAACATGCTGCAGGCCTCGAGTAATTCATCAAAGTGAGTACATTTTTTCATCAAAAGCCCTCCAAAAAGCAAATTTTCTACAAGCCAAATTGCTCACCATAAGCAAACACCCGAAAAATAAATCAAAGAGCTTTTGAGTATTGTGTTGTTCGTATATGAAGAGGGCCTTTATCCCAGGTACTAAGCAAGGTTATATTGAGGAAGAGCCGAGCTTTGTTTGTTTGTTTTATGTGTGTATCCCTAACGGGCAGCATAAGATTAATTAATTTTACTCCAGGATTTAAATTAAGCAAATACATGTCGGTAAGGATCAGGTTATAATGTGAACTAAGCCCTTTCATTGTGCATTTCGCTGTATAAGTTTAACAGAAATCTTGTTCGTTTGATTTACTCAAAAGCCAGGTGAGATTAGAAAAGTTTAAAAAGTGGCCTCTTTGATCCATTAATTTTCACTAACAGTACAAAGTGTTTACGCGTAAGCGTGGGACATTCTCGAGTGATATAAGTAGATAAATGGTTTTGCTGATTTATCATCTTGCAACTAATGCTTAAATGACCATATTGCCATGCATGTCGCTTTAAATAAATCGCCATAATTAATAAAGTATATCCTTAATTAATAAAACGGTCATTCATCACTTTTTCATTCAAGGAATAACATCTTTTCCTGCATTAAATCAGGATTAAACACCCCGTTCGTTCCTCAACGAATAAATATTCATTATTACCATTCCTTACATAAGTAACACGTTGCTTCTTACTGGGCGGTTGCGTGACGAAAATCATTTACAGAAAAACATCTTTAAAACAATTTTTTCCTCTTTAATTTCCTCGGCAAGATGTGGAACGGATAAAGGGGTTTCGAATCTTTTCAGGCATGTGGCGCATGTAATAAACCGTTTACACCTTTTGCAATCGGACGCACTTGCGTAGGTATATTTAATGAACAGCCGAAAGTTGCTTTTATAATCATTGCGGCACAAAAGCTCACACAAGTTAACTTCCCTTAAAAACCACGGGCCAACCGCCAATACGAAGCCATAGATGACTGGACAAGGTATTATATTTGCAATTGGAGGCTCGAAGAAACGAAAACTGGTTGTAATTAATCCCGCAATCCGCGATGCAATGACAATTTCACTTAGAAGCATTTTCAGGCAAAGACGTTGAAGGAAATCATCCAAATCGTCAAGTTTACAACAGCGAAACCCGCAAATATTCCAAGAAATATCTAGTTAAACGTGTCAGCAGAATTCGCCGACAGGGCACAGATGAACCATGATATTTGATAAAGTAATCGGAGCTTTGCCTCGGGATCATTTTTAGCTCGCATGGTGGCAATGAGCTGCTAAGCTTCAGTTTCACGACTAGGTTTATTGAGAATGTTGCAGAAATTCGCTTTGTTTCGGCCCGGGAGAAGAATCAAGATGGCAATTTTTAAAGGGCATGCACTTTTAGATGACAAGTAATTTTCAAAAATGTTTTGAAGCTGCTCAGTATTCGAGTTTTTAGGAAGAGGATGTTTCCACGACGACCTAAAATCCCGATTAAGCTGATCCGTTTGAAACAAACCATAAAACTAACTTTTTAAAACAAAAGTATGACTGAAAAAACATTAGCTTTGCAGATGCTACAACGTTAACTAAGCGAGTGTGTAAAAGCAGGTAAAACCTAAATAATCTGAAACAAAAGTGTGCGAAATATTCTTCACGTTTTATTACTGATTGGCGCTCTTCCATCATTAATAATCTTCAAAGTACGCTACTGAAACGCCGCAAGAAAATAGAAACCAGCAAGCAAAATGCCCTTACGAAACTGGCTTTTACATACTATTTCTCTATCATGCGGGGAGTCAGATAAACTGAAATGTTCTTCCTGCGTGGATTTAATGCTAATGGTTGGGCTTTCTTCTCCTCTTTTTGTAACGGGGCCCCAACATAAATCGCGTTTTAATTATTACTTCTCAGGTGAATTATTATCGGGTATGTTTGCACAGGTACTTACTTTTCAACCTGTACCGAACTAGCGGCTATCAAAACAGAAGTTTGCCACAATTTCCTGTCGAAAACCGTCCAAAAATTCGGCGAGTTAATTGAAACGTAATGGAGTGTAAACCGTAAGATGAATTAGGCAAATCAAATTTTGGTCAAAAACTAGTCATATTGTGTAACTGAAGTGGATTCTATTGTGCGTTTTGAGGCGATTTAATTCAATAGTGGTAAAAACCATTTTCGAATTGAATAGTGTAGTATTTTGATTTTTTTCTGATCAGTTGATCACATGGTTCGATGCTGATGGTGTCAAATCGATTTTGTTGTATTGTTTTTATTCTTGCGAATGAAAGTAAACATAAGCAGTAAACGGGTAAAGCTTTGAAGTGGAACCGTAGCTAAGAATGTTCAGTCAATGATAATTAATTTGACGTAATTGATTTTCATTAGTTCACAGTTTTTAATTTTTTAGTCAAACTCTTTTGAGCCAAGTTTGAGGCAATTTTCGGAATTTCAAAAAGTTCAAACTCATTTAGAGTCGCAAATATAGTGACTTTTTGAACACTTGTGCAATCAGGTCTTTTATATAAATAGCAAAACTTGCAGCCTATCGTTTGTTAACGCTTACGAGCGAAGTTTTAACCAGAGTCGTGCATGTTTGAGCTAATTTCATTAGTTGCTCCAGATATTTAAGAAAATTCAAATACTGAACGGAAGCTTCAAATCAGCTTCTTTTTTGCAGACTCAATCAGTAAGATTTCTTATATAATTCCCCGAAATTCCAGCTTTAAATCGGCTCATCGGTACGGAATATGAATTTCTAACCACATACCTGCATGTTTTTGACAATTTTCTAGATTACACAGAAGTTGAAACAAATTTCCTCCACTAAATCGACGAAACTTTTGTTTACGTGATTACTGAGGTCTTTCATCAAACCATCCAAAATTTGTGCTTTAGATCTCCTCTAGTTTGAAAGTTGGGAATTTTTATCCACAGGCATGTAAACTTGAGATCATTTTCTGTCTTACGCGTAAGTTTTAATGTTTTCCTGCAATTGCATCAAATCAGCAAGTCCACTGAAAGTTTGTGCACTTGAAAAACAAGGTTTCTGATATATAGGTGCAAAATTGCAGATTTAGATGTGTTTCAGTTCTTCACGTTTCTTCTACAAACATTCAAAATTGCGGCATTGTATGAATTGCGATTGCAAAATCTTTATTTTTTCGAAAAATGATTGCACCTTTGTTACTCTTGTCCCTACTAATAGAAAAGTCTCAACCTTTTATAACTCAAGGAGTTAAACATTTGAACCGAGATTTGCGATAATCTATAGAGTGTTCTTTTCGATATATGACGAGTAGCAACGAGGAATTTTTGGTGCATTTTATTTTGTCATTTATAGAATTGAAGAAGACAAACTAAATGTGCAAAGTTTGGACCGTTGAAACAGCAGATATTTTGTACAGATACAAACATCGATTTAATTCCATTTAAAAAAGACAAAATGAAGTGAATAATTTAGGAACTTTGTCTTTGTCGATTAACCTTTGAAAAATTTCATAAAACATTGCAATTGTTCCCAAATACGTTACTGCCTCTGCCGCATTAAAAAAATCCAGCTCTGTTCTTTCATACCGATTTAAAAAAATGTTGACTAATAGAGCCATACTATCTAAAACCCTAGAGCCATAAAGATTTGACGCCTTTATTAAAATCGAAAATTAACAAAGTTATTACTGATTGGTAACTCAAACAAGAAACGAAACAAATAATGGTTTTCTTATTTCATCGACAAACCGCAGCGCTTTGATTCAGCTCTTCACACCGGAAGCGGCAAAACCATCTTCAAACACAGACTTTTTAACGGTTGTTTGCATTTTATCCGGGACATTGTCCCAAGAACATTCAATATAGGTATAAAGTTCTTCAGCAACAAACAACGTGCAATCAAAATAAAAGCCAAGGTGCTAAATGAAAAGATGCATCAATTAGTAACGAGAAACCGAGGCTGAAGTGTAGTTTTATACTTTTGAAGGGATATAATTAAAGTCAAAGAGGAAATCAATATCCTTTCTTATTGCAAGCACTTTGATGGGGAGGTGTTTGATCTGAAAGCCGCACAGAATCGCTGCTAATGGGTGAAATAAGAAAAACTCCAAAAAAACAAAAACTCCCGAGGAAATGTCAGATTTGCTAACCAGCGTGTGATTATTGGAGTTTTCTTCCAGTCGACTCCATTCTAATTAAAAATGCATCGTTGCAGAAAACCGGGAAGTATTCCAAAGGCGTACCAATTTCCTATCCAAATAAACGTTACGTCTTTTTAAACTCACCGCATTATCATGCGTTGATTATTTTTCTTCGATATTCTTTTTGATGTGAAAACGACCCGAAAAAGGCACTTTGATATCTGGTAAACGCGAAACGCTTTGTTAATTCGGTTTGAGTGACATGACCGTCTTTGAACTCGCTTGTTGTCATAAATATTTGAAACGGCTTTTATGATGTGCTGTGGTGGCTTCCGCCATTATTTCAACCTGGAAGATTTCTAATGTTCACAAGATATCTGAAGGATGAATGGGTCTTGCAATCGAGTAAGTCTGTTTGATCTATTGATACCAATACTGCTTCTACATAATGGATGGTTTGGTAGGTAAATGATGCGTCTAAACACAGTCAAAGTTGGTTAAATTAGGAAAAAGTTGCACAATTTGGTGGCTGAGAAACTGGGGCTACTATGAAGAAAAGAATGTTTGATTTGATTTATTGCAGATGTGTTTACAACGAGAGGAATCTGGAAGAGTGGGAAACCCCTCAACAGCAGAGTGTAACAAATTACAGTCAAGAACAGTGACGATTGAAAAATCAAATCGAGAAACGAATGAGCCACTACAACTAAGAACAACCAGAGAAGAAGTCTTTCACAAAACTGGAGAAAAATCTGTCACAAAATGAATGCAGTCATAGAAAGCGCAATGGAAGCTCAAGAGGAAGCCAATTCTGGGAGGGACTGCTATTATAGAAGAAATGCCCTAAATTGTTTAGAATTAGATTGGAATGATGGAAAAATTGAGCAAGGAAGTGAGCAACAAGAATTTTTGGTTAAAACAAAATAAAATTTATTGATAAAGCAAACGATCCATTAAATCTGGTAATTAGATCAGTTTTTCTAGTAGCTGTAAGAACTGTTCTTGTTTCCTGTTTTCTTCCTTTTGTTGAAAAGTTTCCGGTTCTTCTGAAATTGGTGTGTTTTCCACGTGGTTTCATTGTCTTTTGTTAAACGTTTGAAAAATTGATCTCTTCCTGAAGAGACAAAGGAAAACTATTTTTACCTCCTTCAAGATAGTCACTTTGAAAGGCATATTCACAAAGCACTTTGGTGACATATAAACCAACTATTTTTATAGTAGTTGAAGCTGACGAACCAGTAAAACATTAAAATGAGAAATATTGACCCCGAAAAGACCAAAGTCGAAACCAAACCTCTCATAATCAGAAAATTTACCGGCTAACTACCAGAACCTGATCGATAGGAAGTTCGGAATTAAGTATACACAACCTCTGCGCCGATATAGGAGCAATCTAAAATGGTCGAATAACTGAGAAATGATACATTATTAGTAAATAGCTGGGTTGTTATCCATTTTGTATGGTCGAGTTGGAAGAACTGCGGCCTAGATGGAAGCAGACATTATTTTAGCTTCAATTGGTGACTTAATAGATTGCTATAGTGGACTAGAATGTCGTTTTTTTTGGTAGAGTTGAGGTTGGTTTGCAGTATGTTTCCAATTTTTCTTCTATGGTGTCGACTTTTTTAAAATTTCATTAAATGTTTATTAGTGTAGTTTCGTTGCGTATATAGTTTTGTTGTTGGTGAAACTGCTGCTTTTTTCTGCTCAAATTTTCACCACTTGATCTTGTATGAGTTACATACAGGGTACTTCTTCAGTAGCAGAAACGAATACAATTTAAAGTTTTTCAACGTGAGCAAACTCATCCTCGTAGAGTGATTCAGTTCACTATAACCATGAATTTTAGATTGAATCTGCACAAAATATCTCTTAACTCTCGGTTAGTTCCCTTCAGAAATGTTCAAAGAACCTATTTCTTGTTTGCTCACGCACCTTCTTGCTCTTCTACCACATCGTAACAGTTCATACAATCCCAACTAGTTATGTTTTTGCATATATTTAGTTCTCCACTGTCTAATTAGTTTTAAAAATACTTCTTCGGCGTAATCATCTGGTACTGCTGGGAAGTTAAGTTTAGGTCAATTAAACTAGTAGTGGCAGCAGAATACATGACTAAAGGAAACAGTGATTATAACTCCGGCGATCCGAAATTACCACGTAGTACATTTAGTTTATTTTAGAGTAAAACATTGATAATATATTGCACAAGATACATGTCGCATTTAATGGTTAATATGCTCGGTAAAGTGGCGGCCTTGATATTATATGCTTTAAACGGGGCGAGAAAAACGGTCGGATCAGATTACGGTGAATTGATAATAAAACAGCAATAATAATGAAAGCGCGTCTTTTTGCAAATTAACTAGACACTCTTTTATTCCTGTTCATTGACTTTTATTTTCCACTCGACCCTCTTTACCTTCCCAGATTTGTGTCGTCTGTCGTCTCGGTTTCATTCGCTAGGGCATATGGCAAGCATCGTTAATACGTACCCTCTCCAACACATGATAAACGTAGAGAGGACGAAAAAACCGTGTGGGAAATCTTCTTTCAATACGATTAAATCATTTGTGTTTTTCAGCATCCGCCTCTCAAGAATAACAAACTCTGGGGTGTCAAATATCGACCATCTAACCATCTGGAAACCGCTGTTCTAAGCGTTTTAACAAAATCACCTTTGTCTATTGCCACATGTTAAGCATGTCGGTGCTTTGCCCTTTCATAGCTAATTCATCATTAGGTCTTGAATTCGCTGGTTATTCCAATGTAACGTTCTAAAAGCAAAATTTTCTGATTCTACCACTTTCAATGGTCTCGCCTTGGGTACTAAAACATGTGTCGACTGCATAACGAAGGCGTACTGGTAGGAGAATCGGTGTATTTATTTTTACAGGAAACTAATTCAATCGGGGCGACCAGAATTCCTTTTCACTTCTTAATTTAGAATAGTCATTGAGTACTTTTTTAATTAGGCGAGTACCAGCCTGATTGGTTAAGTGTGCGAGATTTTCGGTTAAGTGCTCGAAATTAAAGGCTGACTTTAACGATTTAATTAGCGATTGTTTCACGATCGACAGCGATTAGGCTCGTAGGTGTTGTTTTATCGTATTAACAACTTTCAAGCACTTGAAACTTTCACTAAAATTTAGATAAAGCTTGATCGACCACCAGAGGTTTCCACAATCTCAAAGATGTATGAATAATACAACACGGGAGTTTAAAATAAAAGTTGTTTTTTTGCAGTTTTAAGCAAATGCACTTGAAAGTTTAGGTAATTTGATTACGTTAGTTCAATATGCTGAATAAAAATATATTTTGTCCATACCTCCCATCTCATAATTTGTCCGTTATGTGCATTGAAAACAAAGTACAACTTGTCGAAGCCAATTAATCGGCTTAGACAGGAAATCTAGTAGAAATCGAGAAGCTATTGGAAAGCCAACATGAATGAACTTTGCTGCATAATTTCAGTTAGACTTTAGTCCAGTTGTTCTCGACTTCTGAACTATAAACATACATTTCAGACACATTCACTGAATGCAAATTAAAAAAACAAATGTAACTTTTCTCCGGACTCATAATCACATTTGAATTGATTTGGTCCACAACTTTAAATGTCATAACTTTTTCCCGTTAGGATATCTCGCGCTCTAGTTTGTGCAGCTAAACTATATAATAGAAAGGCAAACTTCGGGATATTTGAACGGATTTTTAGGGAAATTATCACAAATTAACATGATCTTGTTTTCAGTCGCACGTCTTTCCTTTCAGTTCTCGTAGATTAACACGAAAAACGGTAAAAGTTGCGTGCTTTCAACAGAATAACTCCTATTGGGCGGCGCTGTTAAGTAAACCTATTTAGAGCATGGATTATTCAATTCTATAACGCATCAAGAGATAATTTTGAATTCAAAATACATCACATTGATAACCGAAATTACAATTTTCATCACGAAGAACCGTTGGGGCTTTCAATTTTTTTATCGTTGAAATTGAATTTTTGTAAGACATTTGTCTTCAATGTTCGAATGCGAGGGATTCAGCTTCTCAAACCGGTTGATTATACATGAAGATTGGCGACTTGGACGCAAAACACCGGGCTACTTGTCCTGCTTTCTCGGCAAACCAACAGGAAATCGAGCAATCACAGCTTTTGTTTACCTGCGCGATACCAACGTAAAATATTGCCCAAACCTCGATCTGATTATCATTCTTCTCTCTTATACTGGAGGCGAAATTTTTTAAAGTCAGAACCGGACTTGGGAATATTCCTATACTTCATGTGGTTTGATCCATTTGAACCTAAAACCTTATTTAATAATAGTTGTGATAGATGGCAGTTATTCAAGCAAATATCTTCAGCTAAGGTTCCTCAACATTCTGGTATTGTCGCGAATTTATCCGTCTGCAATTGGTTTTCTCAATGTTTTCTTCAGCCGGTTTTATGATTTTCTTTAATTTTTATTTCTTTCAAAGTTACTAAACTTATTTTTAATTTGGCCACACATTATTTAAGGAAAGTAGAAAATGAGAAATTTGTACAAGACAGACAACAAGACAGCTGCTAAATTAAAAGGGAAATATCAATTAATTGTACTGTTTGATCCAGTCCAGAATAGGTTATAACTCACATAAAAATGTGAGAAGCAAACATAATAATACAAACATTTCTAATTCTCTCAAGAAATCTTGAAGTGTAAAAAAGTCTATTTTTTTAACGTGCGTTGAGCTTTCGGCTCATATTAAGTAAACCGTTAGAGCAACACCTCGCAAGTAGCGACTATGAAATAGAGCATAAAAGTACGAAGTTTCGCATATAAAACATATTTTATGCATAGTGTCAAAGAGCAAAACTAGACCATTTTTTTAAAACAGCCCAATATTTCTTGCTCAAACGGGGAAAGCTATGGGTGCAACACACACTTCTTTTGCCACCACTGAATAGAGCATTGAAGCGAGCGATTTTTCATATAACACACAATTTTACAAAAGTTTCTCGTTCGAAATGCAAAAGTAAAAAATTGTTCTCAAAACTGCTAATCCTCTGGGGCTCATGAGCTTACACATGTTTTCACTATTAAGCCAAATCACCCCTGAAGATGCTAGCAAAACGTAATTTTCAAATTCCTTTCGCCTTTGGCCAAAGAACCCGAAAACCTCCGAGCATTCAAACAATAACCGGAAAAACATTTACCACTTAATGATCTTTTCCTCCTTTAATAACTAATTAGTTAGTAGCTCAAAGACGAAAAAATTACTCCTTCAGAAGTAGCCAAACTAAAAGTAACTCCGGTTCTGTTCATCTTAAGACACTTGACTAGACCTCAAAGCGGATGCTGGCAGGTGCAGGTTCATATCGCCTTTAATGGAACCAAAGTTAAGGTCGATTTTCCATTGGAGTTGCAGTCGAAGTTTGTCCTGACGTATCTGGACAGGGCATTAATTTATTTCAGATTTTTGAGCAGGTGCGATGTGTGATTGCGGCTTTTGGGTACCGGGGGGTATTGCTTCGGTTTCGTTCATTTCCTTCGGGGTTTCGGCAATGAGAATTCCGAGCTGCTAAATGGTAAATTGCCTCGTTTGCTTCTAATGGGTGGCTGTTTGATTTTTGTCCAAAACCCCCCTAGTTATTGAAGACAAAATCAATTGTCTTCAATTTGCAATTTTTTTCGTCATGTTGGTATAGGGGTTTTTGTTTCTCTGGCTATTTAACATCGAAATGCAAACACCTTATAAAAACAGAGATTGCTTTCTTGGTGGAAAGCCTATTAACATCAGTGAACATCCAATATAAATATGTCAGGCATATCTCGACCAATGCCGATGCTATAAAAACACTGTAACAATTAATTACGTAGATTGATTGATTATGTTATATTGAAACTATTAATGGCTGTTTTCCTTTGGCTGGAGATAGTGCAGATGACCTTTTATATTATTTTCAAATTGTCGCTTTTATCTTGCTG